ATAATTCTGTCCAGAGACTTACTGTATATAATAGGAAGATGTAACATGCTGCTCATTCTCAAGGAGAAACCACACAGAATCACATGGGCTGTTCGACGAACCAGATGATACGCAATTAATCTACACCATAGAAACCATTGGGTTCTGGTGGTTGGGGGGCGTTCAGGGTGAGGTCAAGGATGCTTAAACGAGCCTCCTGTTTCGGGACGTGTCTTTTGCTCGAAGACCGCTCCACGATCTGTTGCTTCCAAGCTGGTGTTGGCCTTTGCACGTGCAGCACAGGTGCAAGTTCTTGTAGACCTTGGATGTGTCCCATCGCCACTGCGAGTCCCTAAGTCCCTACTAGCCAACATTGAACATTTGCTGTTTGATCCAATCACCTAGAATGCCTAGAATGTACAAGGTTGCAGCTCAATCTTATTTGTTTTTGTGATGGGACACATGTATCCCATTCCCAGGTAGAGCACCTGGGCTGCAGTTTCAATCTTTCGATGTGTCCATGGTGGTGTGGTGGCTTTGCACAGAGCAATCTGCGAAAATGTACGCTGCACAGCAGTCCAAAAACTGCAGCCCAAGTAGTTGCAAAGAGACAACTTGGATTTTTATTGAGATCGGCGCGCTGCCTGAATTTTGCGCGCTAGATAATAATGCGACTGAGCTTGTAGTGCGAGGAAGTTTTTTAAGATTTGAAGCAGTGGTTCAACTTGCTAGAAAGCCTTCGGAAGACTCGGTTCAGTTCGCAAACAATCTTCAGATCAACCGTTGCAATTGCTTGCAACGACCTGCAGATTTTCTTTTGTTCCGGAATCTGCAGGTGGTTGCAACATGTAACATGCATGTAACACAAACTGATAGGTAGGATCCCTCTGTTTTTTCCTCCCCCAGGCACCATCTAACATTGGATCAATCGTCTACCACTTCAACCAAACCAGGCGTTCCTGCGCAACAAGAGCACCCTTGCCGGCCCTTGCCTTGCTAGTTCCCACCCGATCTTGGTCACCAACGCACCCGATCTAGTTTAAGAGGGAGACGGGAGACGCCCAAACCAGGCCTTTCGGGGGCGTGTCCCAGTAAAGGCCGTAACAGTGGTCGAAGATCAAGGATTGTTCGATGTCGGCCTACAACCTATATAACCATCATCATCCCGTGTTTAGACCCAAGCTATTTCGATGAATCTCCAGGGATTGTTGCTTGAGGTGTGGTTGTCCCACTGATGACTTCGTGGATCCTTTATGTGGATCTACTGGGGCAGGGGCTTGGTCCCCTTGACCCGCTCGTGCAAAATCAAGTGCCCTGTATTTTTGATGTGGTGTGTGTCTCAAAACTGATATATGATATATATATATATATATTATATAAAGTTAAATAATGGATTTGGCTGGGTAGCGATCTCAGCCGGCCGTGGCAGGCCCCCCGTGCTCGCAGCATGCAGCATGCATCATCGACCTATCAGGGTGTCCTCAAAAAAACAAAATGCACAGGATGGATTCTCCCAAGTGATCCAGAGAGATCTCTTCTGGCTACCCCCGGACCACTCACGACGGCTTCGCTTTTTTCGCTGCAGTTCCTCATCCAGGCTGCCCTCCGCACTGACCCGGCTCCATCCAGGGTTCGGCTAGGCCCCTAGGCTGGTCTTCGTTCATCCTGTTCTCCAAGTGCACGGTTTCAACTCCTCAAGCCTTTCGCTGTGATGAGTTACGCCCGATGGGACGCCGATGGAGTGACCCACAGAGGGGATCCCAGGTCCGGACCTAAACGTCATGCAAAGACGTCAACGAAGTGAAGGGTAAGTGGTACCTCCCATGGGTTCGTATGACCCCTTTGATCATTCTTTCACCCTGGCTGGGTGGACTGGCTAGACAGTCGTCCGAACATGTCCGAGCCTTCAGACTCGGAGGGGTCGGAATGCTTTGGAGGTATTTGAGCTACAGACCCAAATTAAATGGGTTCTTGAATCCCGAGACAGACACCATTTTGAGACCAAGATGCTCCAAGAAATCAACCATCAGCACTACCAGAGCCCCCTCAAACAGGGGTGTTTGTAGACCATCACTCCGGGTTGTGGTCTAGTTCTGGCAATGTCCTGGTTCTCCCAATAAATCGGGTGGGCTCCTCATCACAAGCCCTGCATCTTTTGCACCTCACACAGGCCACATTCCTGTGCAGAGGCCCAATCATCCCACTACCAGGCATGCAGACATGTGCAACTCGGACTCTTGTTGACCTAGGCCCAGGCCCATCGCAGTTTGACCTATGTGTGTGGGACCTGCCTCTACGCTGTGCTGAAACCTGACCTTTTTCGCGGGAAGATCTCGGATGCGGCGCAGTTGCCAGGTGATGGAGGGTCGAAGGAATCCGAGAAAAGTGTTGGAAGTGAATGAGAAGGGTCCGGAGTTTTGGGCATAAGTGGAGTTTTTGTGAACCATAGATTTTTTAAAACAAATGAAGAACCGGAGAACCCTGACAATCCAAGCATTTCTTTGCATCAGAAAGCCTCGCAATAAGAAAACACATTGAAACCAATAGTTTGTGTTGACATGAGAAGGTGCCAGCCCAGAGGCCTTCTTGAATACAGTGGTTTCAGAGGTTCGATGGCCCAGACCTCAAGATGTCCTAGAGACATGGGGGTTCATCTCGACCACCTCTTGGGGTCTGTGCCATTGGTCCTCTCAATCCACTATACAAGCCAATGAAAATTGGCATATCTTTTTTGTTGTTCCTCACACTCGAGCCAAAGGTCATCCAGCGGCCGCATAAAATTAAGTGGTAGGAATCCACTAGACCTTTTACGAATTCTGCATTGATCATATATTGATCCTGGTTTCTTGTCAAAAGGCCCTGGCTTGTCAGAACCGCTTGGTGTTTGGCATCCAGGCTGCCGCCCCGGATCAGTTCCGCCCCGAACATTGGCCGAAATGGCCAGCACCGCACCATGCGGTCCGCGTGGTGTGTTGGAGCTGCCAAGGGTGGTCGAAAGTCTGGGCGCCCAGCCGATTGACGCCTTAGACATACCACACGAAAGACAAGAGCACCATCCAAGGACATATGAGCGAGATCGGCTGAAGTCATAAGTTCAGTTTCGTGTTTCTTCCAAGATCTTGCAAGGATCTTGAGTCGTGAAGTTTGCTTTGTGCAGAAAGGCTGACATCCTTCGTGACACTCGTACCAGGTTCCACCGTCGAACTCTCATTTGTACCTTCTGAAGGGAGTTCCTGGACCCTCTAAAGTGCCTTAGAAAGTAATAGAAAGTGGGACATTACTAGTAGTGATCGACATTATCCTTACTATATTTCTGTGGTACTTTGACACTCCAGGCTCTTGTATGTTGAATGAAAGCAGATTGAAGATGGATACATATTATATACATATATTATATATATATATTATTGCAATGACTCGCTGATCATTTACCGTCACAAGCCACTTGTTGATCGGCCATTGACAGACGAATCATTTCGACCACATCCAGTCGCCTGCAGTTTGCCCCGCGATGCTGGAAGGGCGTGAGTGCGGGGTGCCTGCAAAGCGTCCGGACGGTGCAGCTTACCTCTGGGTGAAAATCATTCGCCCGAGACGACGTCTCTTCGCCCTTGGATGAGCTGAGTTAGGCTAGCACCGGATCTTTCTGCTTCGGCGACCGTTTGGTTTGTCTCAACGAGCTGTGGCCAATCATCTCATGAAAAAAGGTGTCAAGACTGCAGACACAGTGATGCGAACGTACCAAATCCATGTGTTTGGGCGCGTTTCTTCCGGAGACACGGAGTCGAGAGACGGTGCTAACCTCGGGGTTTATCCACGGACCGGCGAGAGCCCAAAAAGAGCCACGGGGACGTGATGGAGGGAGGTGCACGTCTTAGACTGGAAGGGACGTGATGTGGTCAAGATGAACAAATGTGTGGATGGCCCCCTTTTTTTGGAAGGAATGCCAGCTGACTGGGGAGTATCACAAACTTACCCTCTTGTCACACCATGAAGTAAGATCCTTGCAAGCTATATTGTAGGGTTGGCAGAGTAATATTTACATATATTTAATACAACAAAACTATACTTAGAGATGCTAATGCCGCTTTGATGCTACATGCACATTATGATAAGGATGTTGGTATGGACTTGTGTGGAGATGTATGAGATATGTGGAGATGTTTGGTGGAGTCAAACAGCGTCCCAGCTTCACACACTGATGGCCAGATTTGTCAACTTTTGTTGCCGTCACCTGGTCGTCCCAAGAACTTCGAGTGTCAGACTTAGCATGGTTCTTATGGTGCTTACAGTGGATTGAGAGTAGATGGCACAGACCCCAAGAAATGGTGTATATGGACCCCAGTCTTAAAGACATCTTGGGGTGCCAGTGCCATCGAACCTCTGAAACCACTTTCATCTTCCAGCCTCTGAAATTCCAGTTGCTCCGATGGTCGGGCCATGGCCCAGATGGGCTACACAGCCCAGGGCTGTCTCCACACATCTTCGTCCACTGGTGTTCTTAATACAGGGTTTGACTGTTGATGCGACAGGTGAAAAAGAAACTAATAGAATAGATACTATAAGTAATAGTATGTAATAGTCATGTTTTAAGCTATATATATAGTTATATATATGTTGTGGTTGTTGTTGTTGTTGTTGTTGTTGTATTAAACGTGTTACAGTTGTATAGTATTCAATTGGTATTGACAATTGCTATTTTTGTTAAAGACTTTTCTCTCCTTTGGGTTTTATACTTACGTCATGTTTGTAACATGCAGTTGGACTGCCAAATTGTCGGATAAAGGCTGAACATTTGGGACGATGAGGTCTCATCCAACTGAGAGGGATGAACAATGGACAGAAGAATCAAACTCAAAGTAGACATGAATAGAACTCACGAAAACTGGTAGAGCTGCGTAAAACTCTGCACTCATTCCCACCTCCGGTGTCAACCTGTCTCAACCTGCCCTCCAAAAGAATTCGCCTCAAAACGACCCCCCAAAAGAAACCTTCCCCTCCCGAGCCATCGCATCACCGAGGATTCTACGACAGAAGGGCGGCCCCTTCGATCTGAAATCCTCCCAGGTGCTGACACGACGAACGGAGCGGACGCGTCGGTCCCGCGTCCGAGTGACGCGGGCGACCGCATCGCTACGAACCGAGCAGTCTTACGAGTAACTAGAAGCAGCAACAAAGGGCATCGCTGCGAACGGAGCAAGAAGCTACTACCCTGGGGATCCAGTCGTACCTTCTCAGAAGGTACTTGGACCCTCAAAACCTACATAAGAGTGTCTCCAATCACCGTACCTGAGAAGGTACTTGGATCCCTAGGGCTAGTAGCTCCTACTGCACTCGCGGTCCGACCGTCCGGCAGTGGGGAGTGCTGCAAGACTATCCAGCTTGAGTAGTGGTGATCCATGAACAAGGAGTTCATCAGCACACACAGCACAATCAAAGGTGCTTCTCCATGTGAAGCAGAGGCGAATTCCACGTCTCAAGCACTTCCAGGAGCATCCTTTCTGGGTCTCCTTTGGAGATCCCAGGTAGTGTATGTAGGGTACGTCCAGCCAGGACACCCCGACACGATGGTCCTGGCTTTAAATTTCAGAATGTGTGTAGAGAGAAGGAAATTCTATCACTGTACTGGGTGTTTTCACCACGAGCCGGATATATACCTTGAGTCTCCAAAGACCTTTTTTTTTGCATCTTTGTCTTGTCTAATATTTGTTTTTGCTCGAAAAAACGCGCTTTCAGAGATGAGGACTCAAAAAAGGGTACAGAGTGAATCTTCATCCGGACCCCTCCGGTGCGGACGCTTAAAGACGCCTTTTGGACGCCCAAAAAAGGTCTCAGGACAGTGTCTAAGGAGGATTTGACAGGTCACAAACAAAAAAAGGAACATTTCGTGACATATGCAAAAAAGAGTGCTTTTCTTTCAGAAACCTCTTTTTCTTGGAAAGGCGCATTTAAAAGGGTCATTGGAGGCTTGAGGCCGGGATTTCAACCGAAAGGAGGGCAGATGTCCGACGGTCCGCGCGTGCCATGTCGCGCCGCAGTCTCCGTCGGAGAGTAAGCTGGCCAGGTCTGACAGCTGGTCGCTCAAAACCATGACAAACCATGGCCTTGCCAGCGATGGTTTGTTCCTCGTGGGTTTTCATGCTTTCATGGTCATTATAGACCATTGTAAAGGCCTCATATTGCCTGCATTGAAAACAACACCAACCAGAGCCCCTAACCGGGTGGTTAATGGACATCCCGGTGACATCCCTTAACCTTTAAAGGGGCCATACAAAACCTTCTTAGGAAGCCCTGGAATGGAACGTCCGGTTGCTCGGCCGTTTCGGGAGGTTGCAGTTCCGTCACCGGACGTCCCATCTGTCTGCTTGGACGGTCGCTGGCGAGACCATCCGAAGGAACGTGGAGACCGGACCCATCAATCCGTGTGGTGTTGGTCCCCAAATGGGGATATGGCCTCCGTGTCGGTCTTAGGTTGGAAGGCCGCTACTACTAGGGCGGAGGCCATTACTACTATAGTAGCAAGAAGCTACTATAGGAACAAGGCGTCTTGAAACTCGATTCTTGTTCTCCCCAAAGGCTTAAGAAGTCTGGACGGCAACCGTCGCGCTCGGGATTTGGACAGAGGCGCAACAGGTATGTAGCAGTTGCTTCGGTGAAGCTGGTTCGCCTTCGGGACATCAGCATCTCCTTCCGAACTTCCCACCAAACATGCAGCCAATTGTTTGAACCTTTGCCCTATAGATAGATCCCTATAGTTTCGGATGCTTGAGTTTCCAGGGCTAGGCTCAGCTAGCACCTTCCAAAAGACTTTGGTCCATTAGCAGATCTCAACCATTGCTTTATACATGTATATGCCTACCAATCCACCCTGACAGGTGTAGCCTTCTAGCCGCATGTGTTGTTGTGTTTTTTTTAATCCATGCGCCACCTGTCAACCGTCATCTCGCCAGGTGCAACCGGGTGAGGAGACCCCAAGCAGGCCGACCTCTCCCTAAAGGGAACGGATCGGTTTTTCGGATGAACAGGACAGGACTGCGGAGTGGCTGGCGGACGGGCGGTCGTTGATCCGTGGGTGGGGGTTGAGCAGTTGAGCCTGGCTGAATCTATACGTTGGTCCTTTTGCAAGGGTCAAGTCAAAACCCAAAGTGGCTGGTCCTCTATACATTACATGAAGATTGTATAGCTTGCTTTTTCTTTTTCCCAACCAATTATTGGTATCGCAAGTCATATTTTTCTCCCTCAATGCTTTTGCCTGAGTCCATGGCTGAAATGGCAAGGGTGTCCCAGACTTCCCTCCCTTCCTTAGATGGCATCACCCAGACACAGAACATGCAATCTTATGATCTGTTGGATGATGGAGCATTGGAACCTCTAAGGAAAAAACTGGGATGGATGTTTGTTGAATTCTGAGCGCACATGTCACGTCAGAGTTACATAGTGCAATTCAGATATTTGTTGGGGACATATTATTGCCTTCAACATGCCAATGCCAAAAACACCAGAAACATCCCAAAGCTTGACCAGGTTACCAGGTTCCTAAAACTCTCATGTTTTCAGGACCGGTCACCTGGCAAGACGTCCCCTGTCCCGTACAGGGACACCCCTTTTCCCTGTCTGCCGTGGAAACCCGGAGTGGACAGACCAGACAGTTGCAGGCTTGAACCCGGAGCTCCATACAGCTTATCATCATCTTCCGGAGTGTGGAAATCGTACAGATATATGTTTCTTTGTTCTTCACGGCGTGACATCTACCGACGCAACATTTGCCCAAGGAAAATTAAGCCCGGAAGCCTTGTAAGATTTGTGGGGTCCAGGGATTCAGACATACATGGGCCCAGAACTTGATTGGGATCAAGATCAAGTACTTTTGTTTCTGACCAAGCCACATCCACGGCGCCCTCCACTGTGACGGTCCGTTTCATCCGCGGATGACCCCTGCAGAGGGCAGCAGTGCAGCACCAGGTTTACGCAGCCCCTCTTGGACTCGAGCCCTGAGATTTGAGAGTCGCTTGGAGCCGATTGGAGCTACTTCTCCTCCCGCCCAACACATGGAGGAACTGATTGGATGAGTTGGTGGTTTCTGGGGAACTATGTCTCAGGAACCTTCTCCCCAAAAAGGATGGTCTTCCTGGGAGCTTCCTCTCTCAGGGGATGTTTAGTGGAGGGGTCCACTGGAGTCTATTTGGATCCATTTATGGCGTTTATGGCGGTGGCTTCAAAAAGACGATCCCCAAACCCTCCAGGTTTTTGTTGTCTCCCTTTACTTTCGATGCCGGGGGACATGATGGAAGCCTTGAACAGGCTGACGGGAGGACGGGAGGACGGTGGTTTTGAAGACGGTGCAACGTTGGAGGATGTCCTACACCCTGGCCGATTAGCTTGAACATCGGCCCAGACTGCTAAGAACCGCCCATCTTTGCACCCTCAGAGCGTTCCTGGCAGAAATTGTTGAGCTGCGTGGTGTGTCAGTGAAGAAGAAGACATCCCTGAAGGCATGGAGCTCCCACAGTGATTCGATGTTGATTTAATTTGATGCCTGATGATGATGATGATGAGGAGGAGGAGGAGGAGGAAGGATGATGGATGATGGATGATGCATTCATCCCCAGGTCATCCAGGAATTCTCCTGGCGGTCCAGTCGATCCAGGTACTGTACGGCATCGTTCCCTTCCGGCACCGCGATTTCGCTCCGATTGCAACAGCGTCGTTCGGGATTGGTCGTTCGGCAACGACCTTTCGTTTCCTATTTGCTTTTCATGTCAACGGTTTCTTAAGACGGTATTTCGCTGAAAAACCGTCTACACAGCTAAATCACATCCCCAGCTACTACAGTATACATAATTCACCTGAAGACCTGATCCTCCAAGCAGCACCGGTCGCTCGTCCTCGTCGATCCGGGTGTACTGTCGAACACACCGAGCGGCGAGCGACCGAGCCCAGGACAGCTCGACCAGGTCGACGACCAAAAGACAGCTCGATTCTACTCGATTCGGAAAAAAGAGAAACGCACACCCAACGGATATGCGGCCAACGAACGGTGAAATCAATGGGTGGGGTGGGGTGAGACACAGTGATAGTTCTTTGATATTTGTTGTGGACTTCTCGTGTTTGTGAAGCCATGTGCAGACTGTTGGTTTTTGGATTCAGTAACTGAACCAGCCGTCGGATCTGTTCTTGACAGCGGATTCCCAGACTCAGCAGCCTTGGTTCGGGCATTTGTTCGTTTTGATTGTGGAACACCTATGAACACAATGAACACCTAAAACCACAATTTTTATTGTGGTTCCTTAGGTTCCGGCTTGTGCGTCCGGAACCTCAACTTTTTAGCCTGTCTATTGGAGATTTGTGAAGTGAAAATCAGTTCCAGCTGCCAGCATGACAAACACATGGTTTGAAGACGAGCGTTGTCGTGTCGTGGCTTGCAGATTTTGAGATTGCTTGGAGTTTACAAGTCTTTGAGTTTTGCTTTCGCATGTTTTGGTGCCAAAAATTGGACCTGGCTGCTCGCGTTTCAACTCGACACCGGCCACACCGGCCAACTCGGATGCTGTCATGTCACTTTGGTACACTCCAATGACCTCTAACGAGCCAGTCGTGGTGGACACCAGTCGCCCAGATACGTGCAGTCGCCAAATGGTCGACCAGTCGCTGACTTCGTGAAAACCATAAAACCTGAGGGTGTTCATGTCTTTTAGTTAAGAAATATATTACTAACATGTTTTAACTAACATGTTAAGATATTACTAAGACAATATATGTTTTCACTAACATGTTTTAACCCATTTCAGCCTGGAGACCATTGGAGACGAACCCACAAACATGTGCGGGCTTTTGCGATTTGTTGTCCCCGACGGAGCAGAGGAGCGAGCGAATGTTTGAGGGAACAGATGGGAGCAGGAGATAGGCATGTTTTCCATAGCTGACATGTCCTTCTTGCAATGGGTCCTGTTTTCAGGGTATTATTTTTGACTCCAACAGATTCGGTCAAATGAAGGGTTCTTTTTTGAGG